GAACCCTTTTTATTTTCTTCCTTTCATTATCACCACAGACCTTGGGCGATTTCCGCCCCACCACTGTACTTTCCTATTTCATTCACGAATTTTGCCGTTCCTCCGGATAATACCCTTATCTACTGGGCCGTTGATCCGGCGCCTTCTTTTCCTCACAGGCCCTTGAGGCCCGTACTGCCTTTTGTAGTGATTCATTTCAATAACCATGTGAAAGTGAATCTTGCCTATGGGCATTCAGTGTATTCTGCTCGAAACGGAAGGCTAACCTGCACACATCCTCGCGAGCTATTTCTCTCTCCATCTCGGCGCTTCTTTCCTCGGCTGTTTGCTGCTGCTCGGTCGCGGCGCCCTTGTTCGCATCAACGGTACCACCACCTGCTGCTCCTTCACCGGGTTGTCCCGGCATGGCGCCCTGGCCCGCCATCGTGCCATCCATGTACTGCTGGTTGCCGCCGTTGGTGTTCGCCTGCTCCATGCCACTAGCACTCATCAACGACAAATCGTAGTATTGCGCGGTATTGAAAAAGCTCATGAAAAATGGGGAAATAATTAATCCGAGAAACGAAATTCCACATAGCACTCCCTGGTCTGGTGGCCATTATGAGTAAGAAGATGGGTATCGCCAATGGAAGGCGAGGCGTGCCGAGCCCTTCCTTCAAATCAGGCAAGGATCTGCAGAAGGAGGAGCAACAAGGTGATGCGACTTCGGCCATGGAAATGATACCTCAAATAAACCAGCACGTGAAAGCATAGACGGATCCAGGATGGTCACCTCGGGGAGGAGAGAGGGGAGGGTGACGACTTTTCCACCTCCCGTTCTCCCTTCGTCACTTTACCCACCTTCCTCTCGGCCAACTCCTAACGCACCCCTCAATTGTCGCGCTAACCCCCTTCCCCTCCGTTCTCACCAATCACTAATGGACACTACACTAAGACTGACAAGGCCCCTCGGGGGGTGGGGGAGAGAGCACGGGGTACTAAGCAGACTTTTGTACAGTAAAACAACTGCTACCT